GAACATTGTATTGAAGATCAAAGAGAGAGAGACAAGAAGCCATCTAGCTACTAGCTATGGACCTGTAGGTCTGTGGTAAACTACTTACGCTTCATCGGAAGCGCAATAGAGTTGATGTAGATGCCCTCCGTGATCGAATCCCCCTCCGACAGGATGCCGGAAAAGGCCCCAAGATGGGATCTCATGGGAACAAAAGGTTACGGCAGCAGAAAAGTATTTTGGTGGACGCTTCTGTTGATATTAGAATATTTGAGGATTTATAGAGCTGAGAGGGAGGTTGGTGGACTCCCGAGAGGCCCACAAGCCAGGGGTGCGCGCCCCCCTAGGGCACGCCCTGGAGGCTTGTGGAGTCCTCGGGACTCTTCTGACTTGGCCTCCAAGTTTCGTGGGTGTCTTCTGGTCCAAGAAAAATCATCGCGAAAGTTTTATTCCGTTTGAACTCTGTTTGATATTCCTTTTCTGTAGAACTTAAAAACAAGGAAAAACAGAAACTGGCACTAGGCTCTAGGTTAATAAGTTAGTCCCAAAAATAATATAAAATAGCATAATAATGCATATAAAACATCCAAAACAGATAATGTGATAGCATGGAAAAATCAAAAATTATAGATACTTTGAAGACGTATCAGTCTCGTCCAGCTTCACGGTGAAAAAACCTACTCCCTCCGTCCCATAATGTAAGACGTTTTTTGACACATCACTAGTGTCAAAAAACGTCTTACATTATGGGACGGAGGGAGTATCATTTTGTAGGTGAGGGAACCTGTCGCACAAATCCCAGTCATCATAGCAGTAATGGCACTCCAGGATCCTATCTTCATCAGACATCTACTGTGTTCATAATTCAAAGATTAAACTTTTGAATATTCATCACGGGTTGACTTTCGGTGTGTCGAGTCTTCCTTGAAAGCTCTCATATCATGTGGTGTATATGATGGGCACTCCCTCTCTGATATATTCGACCGTCGGTTATGGTCGCTCCTCCCTTCGTCCCCGAGTGCATTACACTAAATTATCTAGCACACGGGAACGAAGGAGAAGCGATCCCCACGACAACAGTCGGGATTCTTCATCTCTGACATTTTGCGACCGTCAGTGATGGTCGTTCTTCTCTTCCTTTCCGTTCATTAACAAAAGGTCTATCACGAGAAGAAGAGGAAGATCAACCCCCCACGACAACAGCCGGCATTCTTCTTCTCTCATATATGGTGGACACTCCCTCACTGTTTTTTGACTGTCATGTATGGAGCCCCAACAGACTTAAAGTCAACCCAAAATGTCGTTTAATGGTCTTTTCGGCAAATCCAAGGCACTCAATATTTCCTACATTCTAGCACAATGCTAAAATTCACGAAAAAATCCAGCATGACCTTTGATAAAAAGGACATATCGAGCGCCTGAAATTTGCCGGAACGGAAATTAATCAACACTCCGACAAAACATAGGCCACTCGGAGGTGTTCCCTGCAAACATAGGCCACTTGGGTAAGCACATATCCTATTTGGCTACATCATCATCGACATCAACGACATGGGGATTTGGTTGCTCTGACCTCAAGGTCGAAGGGGGTCGGTGACGGGACCGACGATGGGGATGATGCAGGGGCTCCTTGATTTCTGCAAAAACAAAATATAAACCCTATAAGCTATAAACTAAACATTATTATGCTGATTCAAAAGACTTACATTTAGTAAAATTCAATATATCTTATAACCCGAATATTTCATTTGGTTAAGAAGCATAACTAATTAATGTTTCTTACTAAAAAATTCCATACCTAAATTTTCTTACTAAAAATTTATGTTACTAAATTTCTCATATGGCATTCCGATACATTTCTATATTGAAAATTTTGTATACCTAAACAATTTCTATTACTAAAATTTCTATTCAAAAGACCTAAAATTTATATTACTAAATTTGTATACTTGCATTCAAATTACATACATTCTACAAGAACAGAAAGAGAAGGGATGGAGGGAGGGGGGAGGGGAGGGGGGCACTAGTAGAAAAAGGACCTTATGTGAGACACATTAGTCCCGGTTCAATTTTGGCCCGGTACTAATGGTATTATTAGTACCGGTTCGAGCGGCTATGCATTAGTGCCGGTTCGTGTTGAACCTTTAGTACCGGTTCGTGGTGGCAGGCTGGCGTCAGGCCGGGGCCCCACGAGCCCCTTTAGTCTCTGTTTGTGGCACAAACCGGTACTAAAGGGCCAACCTTTAGTACCGGTTCGTGCCACGAACCGACACTAAAGGGGTCTAACCTATAGTCCCGGTTGGAGACACAAACCGGGACTATAGGGCAATTTTCAAACTTGAAAAAATCATAACTAAATCATCCTAATTCAGAAAAATACATATAATATATCAAAATTTGCAGAACAAAAAGATTGATCCGCTGAAAGTAGTTTTCCGTTTCGACAATTTTTTAAAATCACAAAATTCCAAAGGGAAAATAGAGTTTTTGGGCGTTTTAGACGTTTTTAGCGTTTAGTGCTAGGGTTTAGATTTCAGAGTTTAGGGTTAGATTTTATGGTTTAAACCCTTAGTTTTTACTGTTTAGCATAGAGTTTTCGACGTTTTAAGTCCCGGGTTTAGGGTTTAGGACAATTTTTGAAATGACAAAATTGTAAAAGGAAAAAAAGATATGCTCTAATTTATGTTTTTTTTTTGAATTTTGGTTAAATCTTGTCAAACCGGTCAAACAACTGATTCAAGAAATATAGAGTGTTACTAAATAATTACGCAATAATATTAGTGTTACTAAATAAGTATCTCAGTTTTTTTGAATTTTGGTCAAATCTGGTCAAACTATGGTCAAACTACTTATTCAAGAAATATTAGTGTTACTACATAATTATTATTTTTTAGAATAATAGTTTCAAACTCAAACAGTGAAACGTGTGACTTCATGCTCAAGCTAAACTCCTGAGGGTTAATAGGATTCACATCTTACTATTGTCAGGAAAACAACAAGTGCAGACTTGGAAATGACGGAGAATAGAACCCGGAAGTGTGCTCAGGCTGGAGTAGTGAGAGGGATGGGTGACCGGCCGGGAAGTTAGGCGATTTGGAATGAGTGATCCACACTTGAGTAGTTAAGAGAGGTGATTAGAGACTAAATCATCAAATAATTCAGGAAAAATAAAAAAATATTTTTTTTCCAAAATTTTCAAAAAAAAATACCTTTAGTACCGGTTGGTAACACCAACCAGTACTAAAGGTCCCCCATACCAGGGCGCGAGCTCACGCCACGTGGTGGGCCTTTAGTGCCGGTTCGTGCCAAACCGGTATTAAAGAGGGGGTCTTTAGTCTCCACTCTTTAGTGCCGGTTCTAAAGGCCCTTACGAACCGGTTTTAAAGCTCCGTTTTCTACTAGTGGGGGAAGGAGGCGACGGACGACGGTGACGACCGGGTGGTGCAGCGCCGGCG